TAGTCATTACTGACCTAAGAATTTTAAACACTTTTTTTCACTGACATGTACATACTGTATATAGCCGAAGTTAACGGTTATAGAATTTTCTACCATTATTTTATGACATTTTGAAATGTAACTTTTGGAACTATCTGTTGATAGGAGAAAATTTCCTAGGAAACGACTATCCTGGTCAACATTTAACTAATTTTTGTGCCTCAACTCATTGTTGATGTCTAAGAATGCCTCAACAGGTAGAGAGGCTCCCTGTTGAAGATTACCTACACCTAAGAGATGATRCTGTGCATAGTATTTCATACGTGCACAAACACTTATGTTGAATCAGAAATGTAAGGCATTGGTAGTGTTTGCATTTACCCTCCTGTAAGCATTGCTTTAATGCTTTACATTGGCTCTGATTATGTCATATTATAATTTCCATGACTGACTGACAATTTTTGGACAAAGTGCAAGCGGCCAGCACTTTGTTCACCCACTATTTGTGTGCTGCTTCTGGCATATTGACGACCTGAATGGCTTTTAAAAAAGTAACATCACCTGGCCATCCCATTAACCAACAAAGCCATTTAGGTTCTCAAGTGCAGCAGCAGTACCAACTCTCGGAGGTTCGTAGGATGCAGTGATTGAGAGTTTGTGTGGTAGTATTAGACATCTATTAGTTACTTCTGGGCAACTAAGCAGTGAACCACAGTTTGAAAACAAGCTGTTGTTATAACATCAAATATCGCCTCGCACTTCAATTTGCTTTAGTTCTTCTAACGTAGTAATAAATTTTATTGTTAGCTGTTGAACCTCCCTGAGATAGTATTGTTCATTTGAAATAAAGCATGCTATCTGCACCTCAAAAACTGTTGCTATTTATTTATTATATTGTCTTTATGATTTCTACACTACATTACAGAAACTGACTTGGTGAGAGAAAAGACTGGGCAGAACTGGAATTCTCAGATGTGAACTGGATAGTGAAGTGTGGGAAATCCAGCTATCTGGCAGGAAGGGATTGGCTGATAATACGATCAGCAGGCAGCAGGCTGCCAGCAAAGAGATTTWAAAAAAAAAAGTTTTCTTTTTCAGGTTAAGTGCATGGGGCCGCCAAATGTACAAAGCTCACGCTGAGGTTCTTACAGTATCACCGATAAAGGACAAATTYTAGAGCATATCTCAGTGTTATACTGGTCTTATTCTCTCTCTGTTAAGTGAATTTCCAGGCCTCCAGTTCAGCCTTATATGACAAAAATATCTCTACTTTTTATAGCAGGTCTCTGCTGAAAGCAGTTTTTAAAAAAATGACTTCAAAAAGATTTACTACTGCCTTCTCTTCTGGCAGGAGCAACTAATGTGTCATCTGTAGATTAAAGTTCTCTCCTCCTGAGGGTAAGGACCCATGTCCCACCTGCTCCCTAGACCTCCTGGCAGCTGATAACACTTATAGGAACAAAGCAAACCTACTTCGGGAAAAAAGACCTGCGAAGTAGGCTATATAGAGCTTAATACACTTAATAAGTGTATTAATACACTTACTAATTTTAAGAATTTAGTGACATTGCACTAAAGGTTAAAAAAAAAAAAAATGCAAAGATACACAGGTAAAGAATTTTGTTGAACCAATTTGCACACTTAAGTACACAACAAAACTACCACTTACAATGCACTAGTCAGTAGCCCCATCAAGCAGTGACCCCGTCATGGCACATTTAAGCAGCAACTCTACTCCACTGATGTTAGTGGAAATTCATTCTTCCAGGGCTTTCAATGAATCTAGACATATTTACTTAATTAACTAGAAAGCACACTGGTGTGGCAGTCTAAGTAAGTTAATAAGCTACTTCTGTCTCTACCCAACTCTGCATAGTACTTACTTAAGCAGGCACACCTAACTTTAAGTAAGTAGATGAGTCAGTCACATACTGAAAAATAGTATGTAAGATACGGGATGACAGGCTTTGCTCAAGCACACTTTACTAACATATATTAATACAACTCTACATGCCAACTTGCTAAGACTGTTTTTTTCACAAGACTGTTACAGAGACACTGATAAAGTCACAACACAAGTTCTGTAAACTTCAGTTTTGAAAAGCTCATCCCTACATCCCCAGGMGTATTTCTTAAGAGAGACTCAGTAGTCTCTGACTGAAAAAAAAACACATCAAATGAGCAATTAATTAAGTTTTCAGATGATGTGCTTATCAGATTCAGGTAAAATGCAAGGATTTCTAATGGCACAARCTGACTTGTACTATGTTTAAAGATTGCACTGCAGGAACCAGTTTAGAAAGAAAAGATCTTACCACAGAAGTATGCGAAGACATTCGAATGTCATGGTTCTAGGCCATTATGCAGAGGAAAAAAAATCCAAGCACATATTATTGAACTAATAGGTAAAAAAATGTATTAGTGAGATGATGCATGTTTTCTGCACACTAATATTTTATGTCTGGCAGCCTGTCATGGTGGATAGTCATAATAATACTTAGAAATTTATTTCATTGCTAGGGGACAAGAAATCCTAATCTTAACTTTGCATTTCAATTTCCACAATCATCTCCAGCTTCTCCAATAACTTTTCCTTTCAAGAAGCAGGGGTGAACAGTTTAACCAAAAAAAAAWAAAGATTTTTCTTCTTCTTGTGTTTCAGAGGTCTCTAAACAGTACAGAACACTATTTAAATTATATTTCCTCTAGATTTTGCTAGACCATAATGTTCTCAAATCAGGTTAGAGTTCTTCTCATCCTAGAAATGCCATAGTAATAGCAACACTGACACAAAAGAGAAAGGATGCCAGAAAAATAAGAACTTCACAACACGGGCGCAGAACAGTAAGAGCGATCTACAGCCACAACTATAACACGCCTAGTTCTGAATCCCTAGCACTTTCACTAAGTTATGGGAAAGATGCTGAGTCCTGCCGAGATATGTATTCTATGTACAGTAATGGTTATTGAAACAAAAATGTACAAGGGTCTTTGTTTTTTAGTATTTAACAGCGCAGAGTTGCAGGATGGGAATTTTGGATGTGGGTCCCCCCCCCCAATTCTACATAAGTCACTTCTAAGCAGTTAAGTTCTCTTCTAGAGCTGGGTCTAAAACTCTGGTTTATTTCTGGAAGACGTCTGTAAATTAATGTCAATGATAGTCAGGCTTTACGTTTACTCTTTTAAAGCAGAATGAGGAATAGCTGAAAAAATATTGTTTGTTAGATTTAAGACACAGAAGTTTTCTTCATTCAAGTAGCATGCACCTTTAAAAAGTCATTACCTTAGATCAGCAGGAACAAAAGATACACTATTCTTCTTAACTTGATGGCAAGAGGACAAACAATATTGAAATTTATAGTTTGTGAAAATAAAATTAACATAGTAGTTATGTTAATAAGTAATATTAATAAGTAGTAATGTTAATAAGTAGTTATGACTTCCACCTTTAAATCAAATTCAAAATTTTTATGTGCAAACAAGATCAGAGGTCTTCATATCCTAATCACTGTTCTCCCTGGGAAACAGAAATTGTAATAAATAAGGTGATCGATATTTTACTACATACTGAGAGAGGAAAAATACAAACATTAATTTTCCAAGTTTAAAGCCTTTTTGAATGTAATATTCATTCCCAAGACACTTTTCCAAGCAGTCATTAATCCTTTACCATACAGGCTGGCATGCACTGAAGTATGTTCAACTGTCCACCATTCAGACTTCAGAAATGAAACTCCGTAACTAGCAATTCCCACTACTTGCCTAAATGTATTTAGTAAGTTTATAAGTTTTATGTGATAAAGACTGTGAGAAAAACTAAATTTCATTTCAGACCATCTTTTAAAAAGGGAGATCAAAATTAAATGCTCTAATTGTACATTCTTTGCTTCAATTCAGTTCCCATTCTGCACCAGAGGGAGTAATAATACTGTTATGCACTACTGATTAGCTCATCCTTAACCTCTAAATCTGCAGAGAATGAAAACACAACAATCAGAATCCAGATTTTATAAAGTCTTACTACACACTGACCTTTGTGATTCAACCAATCAGCTAAGTATCTTTTTCAGAAGTGACTTTTAGATTCAGATGCTTAAGAAAGTATGAAGGCTTATCATCCCCCAATCTAGTTTAAACACATTTTAGGACTGACCAACAGGGTTTGGTACAGTTACATTAAAACAAAATACCTATTTAATTTTAGTGGGAACATACTGCTTATATATTAAGACATCATTCCAGCCTTAGTCACATGGAAAAGTCCAAAAGTTACAGTGATATGCAACTATTAAATCTACAGTATTACAACTTAAGTTTAAATCATCTTACCTGTGGCAGCATTTTCAGTGATGATTTAAGGTTACATGCATAGACAGTCTCACGGATTTTCTTTTTTCCCTACACAGTGTGGAGCCCAAATTAGCTCTAATAGCTGAACAGCAGAAGTAACTTTGCATTTATGTGATACATATTAAACACTTTAGGAGTTGGCAGAAACCTCAGCAACATTTCAGCAAGGAAATCAAAGTGTATATGACTCAGGACAATATTCACATTGCTCTATTCACTGAAGATGTGTCTTTTTTTTTTAATACTTATTTTTTACAATTGCCATAAGACAAGTGTAATACAGAATACATTAAAGCAAACATTCAGAAAACCTGTACAAGTATGTGTGTGGCTGACAGGCATATGCAAATGGTAATTACATGAAAACTGACAAAACTCTGCACAAATGACAGCTCTGAGCTTGTATCCACAAATAACTCTGCTCATATAAGCTGTTCCATTTTATTTGTTCCAGACATAATGGTGTTTAACTGGTACTCCGGACAGGCAACAGCTCATATGTTTCTGTCAGCATTTCAGAAATRTATAAGAARTCTGTTTTTTTTTCCATCCTGCTTCAAAAACACCAGGTTCTTCATACCAAAGGAAGACTCATTAAACTAAATTAAAGATTTAATTATAAAAACAGATTTTGGTATGTGCTCAAGTGAAAAAAAAAAAAAAAAAAAAAAAAAAAGCCCTGTACATTTATTTAACACTTCTGTAAATCAAAAACAGTAAGCCATTTGTTTAAAGTGCTCTACAGCAGACTTTATATACCAAGTTTATCCCTAAATGAATACCAAAAAAACCCCCGAAAACTTACAATGCAAACACTAGCAACCTTATGGAGCAAGGTGCTAGCAGGCACCATTATACCATATTATTCATCAGTTATTTAAAGAAGCAGAATCTGCTCTCACTTACTTACAGTTAATGTAAATTTATACCGATATAACTGAGATTAGGATCCATCTCCCAATATATATCATCCTGAGGTGATACAGAGAAGTCACAAAACAGAAGTCCCTTTTTTGTATAAATAAGTCATAAATAAAATATGTATAGATACAAATATTAATTYCAACAGCAGCTTAATAGTCTAATATTTCAACTCTTGCTTCTATAATGCTTTGTTAAAAAGATACCTTTATCAGTGGAATAAATCTTAGCAGAGCTGAATCAGCTATTTGTGACACTACACACCTCAGAAACAATTTATGCACATTTTGAAGCCTTTAGTAGCTCTTCACATCTTGAACAGTGAAAGTAGGTAGAAATTTTTGATGCAAAAAAAGAATAAATAAAAATTGTTAAATATCCAATGTTTGGTACAAATGCTTTATATTAAGTTATTTTTATACATTTGTTTAGAAAAATACACTAAATATTTCTACTTTCATTGGCTAAAAATAAGGACCAGATTATGTATATCCTTGTGTTTTAAAGAAGGCAATGTTAATTACCATCAAGCTGCTAAAGTAAACCCATTAATACCTAATCCCACAGCCCTTGCCCAGGCAAAAAAGCCAGTGCAAGTGCATCGCAGCTACAGGAGGACTGAATGACCAGGCTCTAGAGATYGTACAAACGACCAACAGGCCCATGGCACAAGTTACATTTTCTGCAACAATTTGAAAAAAAAAWCCTTTTGCTGAAGTTTGCATTTTGCAGGTTTACTAATGTATCAATTARACCTTCACACTTTTTAAAAAGAGCTACATTTACAAACATATGTACTTATCTGTTAAACCGTTATGTTTTTCCAAAAATGCACATTCAAACTGTGAAATATTAGGAAAATACTCTTGCAAATAAACTATATAAAGATAAAATACACTTCAAAGATAGTTTTGTTATTCTATAAAGTGCAGAGAAGTCCTTCTAGAAAGGGAAATGACTACTTTCTATATCAACTGTATAATTACAGCAGCCTTTGCATAGCATTACTTATAGAAAATTGAACACGTTCAGTTTCTTCAGGAAGAAAAGGATGGAAGAGTCTCTTCCAATTCAGATCTTTCCTTAGACACTGATTTATTTTCTTCAGGAATGGTTGATGATACCAAATCTCCATTGACAGCACTTCTAGAACAGTGAGCAGACCCTATGAAAATAGTATTTACATTCAATATTTAAATTTCACCGCAACCAACTCATCCAATTCTGTCAGTTACACAATTTGCTAAATATTTCCCATACATAAGGAATGAACCACACAACTGCTTTGATTTAGAATAGCAACCCTACAATAAATCTTTGTGCAACTAGAGCTGAACAAAACTTGCACTAGGTATTTTCCTCATACTGATACCAGCATTTAGACACTCATTGTAACCATGGGAGCAAGAGCTACAGAAAAACACAAAGAAAACCATCCCTCTTCCAAACTTACTCTGAGAGTCTTCAAGAGGAGTGTCACTGTATGATTCTGTATCAGAGTATGTTCTTCTGCGTCGCTGTGATAATCGGTGAAGAGATGAAACTGGCTCCTTTACAGCGTGGCTATTCCTGCAAACGAAATCAAATGTATTATTAAAAAAAATCTGTTACAACCCATACCCCCAACTTAATATATTTAAAATAATGGTGTGCTTAATTATATTCTTAATATAGATTTTATTTTTCACTGTGCTAAGTTCAAAATGTCATGGCCAACAAAACGTTAATAATTTTCACAATTTTAAAGCCTGAAAAATGAAGTATTGATGTAGTTATGCACACAAACCTATTCAAGAATCCAAAAAAACAACCCAGAAGAATCGTAACGTTTCAGTTTTATGCATAACTTCATGCACTCAACAAAAGGAGTAATTGACAGAATTTTTCTAGCATAAAGAAATAATTAGTAAGAGAGTATTAGAGAGAACAGCTCAATTACTTGTCAATGAAACACATAATCCTCACCTTATTTTCCAAATCTTTAAGTAATCAAAATTAGATCAGCTTATTTATTTATTCTCCTGTGAGGAATTTGTCTCACATTTTGCTTTTAATGTTGGCAGATTCAGGGAGATGTTTGGATGAATTTGAAGAAAAAATGCTGAATGAAATAGAAAATTACCTTTCTAAATAGCAAGTGCCAGGGTGACTAACAGAACGCTTCATCTAGGAAAAAAGAAAGAAAAAAAAAATCTCAAGTAGTTTACAGGGATATTATGCACAGCTACACTAATTGATAGGCTATTCTACATAGAAGGAGGAAGATTTCTTTCACTAAAAACAACAGTTCTTGGCTAAATATCTTATGTAGTTGTATGAAAATGGATGGATTACTATCAATATTAAAAGTTTTAAAGAAATAAACTTTATTTCTTAAAATATTATCTGATTTCTATAGAATTCAGTCTCTCTTGCTCCTAAATTACTCATATATCCATATCACCATAATGGTGGTGAACTGCAGAAACATCAAGACACTTTTTCCCAATACCAGCCTCAATTCCCCATTACATGCAAAGACATACACACACACACACACACACAAAAAAAAAAACCTGCCTCTTGATTCTTTGTGGTTCTTCTGATACCACTGACAAATCTCTATGCATAACAAAAAAAGCAACTTACTAAAATTACTAACAATTATCATCTTTGGAAGTAAATAGATTGGATGGAAGACAACGACACAAAAGATCCAAATACAAAGAAATGGAATCCCACAAAATCCTAAAATACTGCTGATCAGAGAATTTTATATATATGACCAGCATTATAATGATTTTGTGTACAATAAGATAATCATCTGTCCTAGGGAAAACAAATAGTAGTAAGGAGTTATGAAAGTAATAGCTTTACCATGAGTTGATTTTTCATTAAATAGATCATGTTAGATTCAAAGAAACATTTCTGAGTGATATACATTGAAAGACAAGCTATCTTGCTGAAGCCCTCTAATGCAAAAGGCAGTTATCTGTCTAAACAAAAGGCAAGGTCCATGTACAGTTAGTCCTACAGAAAATAAGGAGTCGGACTGAGAAAAGGTTGATTCTCTTCATATATGAGATACCTGAATACAACCAGAAATGTTTTCATACATATGACAAATYAGCCTGATTATGTGTGATGGATGGTAAACAAAGACTGAGAATAGAGTAGTACTGATTTCTATTTAAGACAGGTACTGATGTTAATAGCAGGAAGGTTTCATCTGCTGACATCACAGCATAAACACAGTCTTTTACTCTTCTTTGCTCYCATCTAATCAACAATATAACATTTAGAAAACAGTAGTATTTTAAAATGTCTAAACCATTTGAACAGGTGATGGTGACACAGGAGAAACTAAGGGATCGGGGTGAGGCAGCTGAAACATTTCTGGCTTAAACTTGGCATTAGCAATCTTCACACATTCTTCAAGTGTTGTGATGAATGTATTACACGTGGCACTAAGCAAGGAAGAGGCTTCATTCATATTCTGAAAACAAATGAAAGCACAGTGATCAGAAAACCAAACAAAAAAAACCCACCACTGACTTCTCTCCTTATTATAAAGATCTAGTAGTAACTTTCATTTCTCATTGTATTTAACCAAATGTACACTTTCAACGAGGTCAGGTTTAATAAACAGATATGACAATACTCTAATTTCCTTTTGGTACTTGAATTTCTTAATGGTATCAACAAACAATSCTATAACGATTTTATTGCAAATATAAGAAGCTTTTCTTTCAGAATGACTAAATTCCTGCAGGTAAGGGGAGATCATGCCATGAAACAGAAGAACTGCAGCAAAACAGGTACACAGCTTCACTAGCTGCAGTGCAAGCAGTCTATGGGCTGACTGCATATTTGCAGTAAGCAACAACACCTTGCTGTGCTGTGACTACAAAGTCACACTTGCAAATTTGCAAAGCACTTGCAAATTTCCAGCAATGAATTTCATTCAAAAGCAAAAACACTAGAGTATTTTACTGATATCTTTCATCAGCAACAAAATTAAATACCTTCATACACAAAAAATAAAGAGAGAACAAACAAAAGATTTCACTTAGTCATTAAGTGCTGCCATTCAAATACTACTATGCCTATAATGAAGATCTCAGAACAAATTATTGCACCTCTTCTGGTCTTTTAATCAAATGACTCAAAACACAATTGTTTCCTAGTACACCTTAGAATTACAGTTAAGTCATTCAGGAGCTTTATGCACATAAAATCTCATATATAATTCCTGGACAGCCTTCTCTAGGTGACTCTGTTTGAGTAGGGYGGCACTGGACTGCTTGATCTGCAGAGATCCCTCCCAAATGCAGCTAGTCTGTGATTCTGTTCCACAAATTGGCATTCTACAGATTAAATACCTCAATGCTGGGAGGAGATTGAGTCTCATTATGATGAACAAATTCTTGTATTGTATGAACTTGCTGCATTAAAAGATCACAGTAGAGACGCAGTTCAGACATTTTGGTTTTAAGAGATTCATTGGTCTCACTTATTTCTATAAAAAAGAAAAAAATAACAATTATGGCATACAATTAATGTTCATATTTTAAAATATACTCATTTAAATAAATTTTTGTTTAAAGATCCTTAAAAATTTTCTGTTAGTTTGAAGAAGAGTGGTTTCTGCACTGAATTAAGAACTTTATTCAAAGTAGACACCAGTACTTAATGATAACTAAAGCTGCTTTAACAAAAGAAGCATATAACTGTAATGCATAAATCTGAAATTTTTGCATTGAAATTCTGCAATTTGAAATTACAGGTACATTGTAACGTTGAAAACTTCAAGGGATGAAATTTCCCACCCCAAGAGATTAGAAATGGTTACATCAAGTCACCCAGGAAAAATAAAGGAGAAAAACAATACTATTATGAATCAAAACAGCAGAAATCCAATGATTTTTTATCAGCTACAAATAATACAGCTGTTCCTGCAACAGCCCTAACTTGCTGAAGTTTCAACTTTTTCAGGTAGAATTGCTCAGGACCTGGAAAGACCAGATTAATCCACCTCAAAGTGAAAGGTGCTTAGGTAGGGTTACACACCCCAGCATACACAGGAGTGAGCACTCTATTTATATCCTTTTTTCTATATTCCCTCCCAAGACTTTACTCTTGGCTTTCAACCTGATCCAGTAAGGCAGCTCTTAGGATCACATGCAGTCTCCCGTCACCTTTCAATGGAGGTGATTTCATCGAGGCAGATGTTCTAAGATTGTCACCAACAAAAGGGAACTTGTACAATGTCCAGATATTGAAATGTTGTGTACCTTAACATCAAGGGGGACAGAGCTGAACACATTCAGAATGTCAACAACAAAGTATGTCACCGAGTTTACATAAAAGTAGTTCTTCAATGCCTTACAAAGAATAAGGATCCAGACTATCACTGCTATACTGTCTGTAAAAATGTGTTAGCCATATAACCAGGAGAACTGCAGCCTTTCAAAAATGTCCCATGGAACTAGACACCCCAGAYCCCATGGACTTAAGTTTAAGCATCTGATGTTAGATTCGGTCAGAATTTGGATCTTTGTGAAAGCAGGAAAAAAGGTCTGAACTGACACAAACTGATTAAAGTTTTTTGGACACGAACAGAACTCTATTAATCCATAGCCTTTGTGGATCTGATGCTTTTTATGGCCACAACAACATCCCTAGGATATTACGTAGATGATATCAGCTGCAAGACAAATTCAATTGCAGCACAGAAATCCAAGATGTGAAGGAAAWAAACCACAGAAGTGGTTTATCAAAGGTGATTTATCAAATAGATCACGAGTTACAATTAAAAGCACAAGTGGTTTGATTGTGCATGTTCTAGGTGGYATACATACCTTTTTCTTTTTTTGTTCTGGTATCTGCCAAACAGGCTTTTGCACTCCCCAGAGCTACCAGCCATCTCTGCCTTTCAGCTGCATTAACCGCTTTCATATAGAAATGCTGCTCCCCTGGGATGATTAGCTCCATTCTTGTGTTGTCTGTTGCATGAACTTAGGACAGATGAGAAAATAAAMAAGAAAAAAAAAACCTCAATGATTAAAGTAAGGATCATTTATGACATGCAGGTCAAAGTACTTCAACATTTTTATTACAGTCAGGCAGTAATATCATAAATCACAGTATACTGCTGCTGAATAATGGAAAAGTAGCTCAACCCTAGCACACTGTGGAATAAACAATCCAGGAACATCCACTAACAAACCACAGACAGACTCAAGCACAGTGAGGCTCCTTTACTGCAGTACCAATACACAGTTTGTGAATCTGTAAAAGCTGTTTTATGCTAATCCTGATTTAACCACGACAAGGTTAGAAAAGTTTTGTTGCAGGGCCAAATATTTATAAAATTTATTTATAAAATTTATAAAAAATCTCTCCTTCATCACGAGATCATGAGACTGCAGTTGCTCTTCTGGAAATCCGGAAAACTACTTACATGATTCCTAACTCTGGCCGTAAGAAGGAAAAAAGGTAGCTAGCTTAGGTAACTTCAAGTATAAGCCACATGCACAAAACTTTTTAGAAAGGTAAAGGAATATATGGTGGGTTCTAGATCTCAGAAGAGAGATTTACGTCTYTAAACCTTTTTTCTTATTGCCATGTCATAATTTACACTCATTATTATTTGTGAACTGTGAAGGAGTCACACTGGTGATTTCATTTAAAGTAGATTTTAAAGTSCATTTAAAGTACATACATTTAAAGTACATAAAAAAGAATGTGATGCAAAAAATATGTAAGCTATTCTTATCAATTACTGTGACAAATAAAATTTCATCTAGCAGAATTCTCTAATTCTTACCTTTAATTTCACAAACAGCCATCTTTATACTTCCTTTGCTGCCTTTGCAAACATCATCCTGTGAATCATAGTATGACAATATGCCATTGTCTAAAACAAACCATCGAGGCTGCCAACCTAGAAAGATCAAAAACAAAGAAATTTTAGTCTAATTGCTAAATTGCGAATCAAAYTCAGTTCCTTGGCTATTAAAACTTTTATAAAAGATGCAAACATTTTAATATGCCTGTGTCGCACAAGAAGGAAAGAACCTCTGTTCTGAAAATCAGAGCTCCTCTATAACCAAACTACTACTCCATGGATATTTCACTCTTACTCTTTTTTGAATGCAACATCACTAAAATTTCAGTCTTTGCTATGTTCCATTCTGCAGTGGAATGAAACTGTAGTTTAGCCAACAAGAAATCCTATTCTGAGGGCTAATTAATTACATACCTCTGATGAACCATTCTCATTCAGCTCTATTTTTCAGGTAGATTTTCTTAAGAGAGTCATAAAAATAAAGACAATCATACAAATAATTGACTGATGCAAACAACTGCTTTGCTATCATCTCTTCTACATACTGTACTTCAGCAAGAGCTTCTGCAGATTACTCTTAATTAACAACACACCACTTTGAAAATAGCCCAGCTTCATTACTCAGCAACAATTTAATTTCAGGCATTGTGCTGGTATTTTCTACTATGATCTAGCAGAGACATGGCTTATACCAAAAAGAGTCCACTTGTGCTGAAGCTCACACAAGTTCCTGTATTTATGCTTTCACAASTTTTGCACTGGCAAAAAAAATACGTAATGAGCATAACAGATCATGCATATGCACAGATACCCGGGAGAACTGCATGCAGCATCACACCATTTATAAATGCTAGTCTACTTTAGTCAGATGAAGACAGTCCATGAAGTAATTTACTTTTTATTTGTTTTGTTTATTTTATTTTACAGCTGTTCTATRGGCAAACTTATCATTTCATAAAAACAAACACTCAGCAGAATAGATGCCCTAACTTTTAACACTGACGGATACAATACATCATGTCTGGTAAATCGCCCTTTTGTCTGAATTAATTGGTTTCTAAAAATAACATGAAACTAAAGCATTCCTGTAGCACACAAGAACACTGGCTCTTTAGTRTCTGGCCCAGCTACACAACAGGAGCAGATCCTACAACCAGATACCAAATTTTCTGCTTGGATGGATGGGTGGCCGTGAAGCCACCGGTTTGGTGACATAACTGTATGGTCCACAGCACCTCACACACGCTGYAGCCACCCAGCGAGTCCATTAGTGCCTTGGAGCACAAGGGACTCCATCAGGTAAGAGACTGCTCAACATCAGATATGGTTTCACTGCTCATGTTAAGTCACTGGAAGTCTTAACACTAATTAGAGAAGCACAAGACCAGTCTCCACTGCATCCTGCCTCAATTTCAGGTTAAGGAAGTAAAAACACGTGTTACTATTTCTTTTTATTAGCTACATCAGTAAACATATATGTCCTTCAAAATGTAGAATAGTTAAGCAATAAGCAGATCCACATTCACATATAAAAACAGAAAGAAAAAAAAAAAAGAGAACATGGAGGGACATCAGCTCCCATAGGCAAACATTTCAAATTATATATATATACATCACTGCTTATGATAGAAGAGTACCTAAATAGCTGTGAAAGTACCATACTGAAGACCCTGGTCTGTAAAACACAAAAGCGCCCTGACATCTTCTCCTGCTATACCGCATTGCAAAACACTGGCTACGTGCTCCCCTTTAGCACCTAAGTGCACGGGGACGGGGGTTTTAAACAGTCTTATGCTGGTAAAAAGGGACCCTACAAAGACGAYGATTATTGCAGCCTCACATTATGCGAGTGCTGAAAACCCAGAAGAAGCAAGGTTCTCCATGTGCCTTGCACCTGGGTCCTTGAGAAAGTGTTGAATGTTTGTCAAAATGTTTAACAAATTCATACTTTTACAAATTTTTAGATGTGAGCACATTATGCAAGCAAGAGGGAAAAATGAGCAGTAGTTTGGACTTGTTTTTATTAAGGAAGAAGGTAAATAATGTGGCTTTTTTTCAACGGTTCAGCAATATTAGCAAGTTCCTTCACTGCTGGGCTTCTGTGGTTAGCGAAAACAAGCAGCATGTCTTGTTTCTAGCTACAAAAACATACAGTTGAGTAACAAGAAAGTCACTAACAACGTTTAAAAAAAATCCAACTAATATGATTAGATGATTCTGTTGAATCAATCGGCCTACATATCCCAAGCAACAGTTCTGGAGACAGGTATCCTACCAACTCCCCATGGAGGCTAGATCCATGTTGATATAAGAGCCTATTATGCAGACTCCTCTGAGAGTCTCTTACCCAGTCTTCACAGTTACTATTAAATATTTACTTAGAAAACGGACTTGAAATGTAAAGTTTGAAATGCCAGCTACACCAGAAGGAGTCACTATCTGTGACCTTTTACATTTTGCTACAGTAAGTTCTTTTTGTCACAAACAAAGAAAGTGGCAAAACTATTTTGGAAAGAAACTTGTGTTCATTATTTCTTAGGCCTCCCCCCCCCCCCTTTTTTTTTCCTCTATTGGCATTTCCATATTTAATGTGGGGAAGCAAGAAAGAAACCTTATCAAATAGCTAYTTGACTGCAGTAGAAGTGCTCTCCTTCCTTGGAAGCCCTGTATGCAGGACACATATTTGCTCAGATATATATGAGACTGCAGCGTGTACATTTTGGTCCACAGCAAACACATGCAGTAACGGGACCCAAATAGTGAATTAGGCAAGTGCATAGTCTTTCTTCATTTAAATTATGCAAACTCAGGAGCCAGGCTGGAGCTTGGAGCAACCCAAGCAACGTGCAAGGCAGTGCAAGATACAGCAAAACAAGTTAGTGTGAGGTAATAGTTGTTCTGAAGCAGAAGAGCAGGTCCCATGGGCAGCCCTGTGCAGAGAGACCCCGCTCCAGATTATCTTCATTTGCAGCACTGCAGCGTGGCCAGTCCCGAGTTTAACATCACTCCAAAGTCTGGACTTACAAGCAGCACCACAGGCCYGCAGAACAGCACGTGTAAAGGGCAGGACAACGAGAGGACAATCTGCCAAAGCAGTCCAAAGAGGCCTGATGATCACACACGGTGTATAATCCAACACCAACCTGCTCCCGAGGGACCATCAGTCCCATCACAGCGCCAGGAAAGGCATCCGTTCCACCTTGGAACCACAACCTACCCGGGGCTATCTCCAGAGGGAGGCACCTCTATCACTATGGGGGATAAGGCCAACAAAACTAGTTCTGATGGCAAATGCAGCCATTGAATCCGCTTCCCTCTGCAGCCCTTCTAAAAATGCATTTTCCGAATAAACTATCCAAAACTAAAACTTTTTGAGGGTATTACAGGTTATGGTATGTTTCACAGGCACACAGATTTTATATATATATATATATATATATATATATAAAATCTAAAATGTACACAGGGAGAACTTTCGCATTTACCACTGGAGACTTACAGACGCCACATTAAAAGGCTCCCTCCCTGAAAGGGGCGATACCGTTCGATTTCGCACGCCACAAATAAACGCTATTTCCCCAGCAAACGGAAGATGGAAGGAGAGGCGCCGCCAGGATGCGACATTGAGGGGGGCAGCTCGGGTCGCGGGGCCGAGCAGCAGACCGGGGCCCAGGCGCGGCCCGGCCGCGGCCCCGC